TAGGACACAAAACAAGTCTCTACAAGTTCAAGAAGATAGAAATCATATCAAGCATCTTCTCAGATCACAGTGGAATGAAATTAGAAATCTACTACAGTAAAAGCCCCCCAACAACATTCAAACACATGGAGGCTCAATGGCATGTTATTAAACAAAGTATGGGTTACCAACGACATCAAGAAATAAATAATAGCCCTAACTGGTTTGGCTCAGTGGATAGAGCGTTGGCCTGCAGACTGAAAGGTCCCAGGTTCGATTCCTGTCAAGGGCATATACCTTGGTTGCGGGCACATCCCCAGTAGGAGGTATGCAGGAGGCAGCTGATCGATGTTTCTCTCTCATCGATGTTTCTAAATCTCTATCCCTCTCCCTTCCTCTCTGTAAAAAATCAATAAAATGTATTTAAAAAATAAAGAATAAAGCCTTTCTGGAAACAAATGAAAATAAACACACAACTCAAAATCTCTGGGCCACAGCAAAAGCAGTCCTGAGAGGGAAGTTCATATCACTACAGGCATACCTCAAAAAACAAGAAAAATTAACAATAAATTATTTAACCCTCCAACTTAAAGAACTACAATGTGGACAACAAGAAAAGCCCGGAGTAAGTAGAAGGAAGGAAATAATAAAGATTAGCGCAGAAGTTTATGACATTGAGACAAAAAAAAAACACAATACAAAAAATCAATGAAGCCCAGAGCTGGTTCTTTGAAAAGATAAACAAAATCAAAGAATGCTTTAGCCAGCGTTTTTTACTGTTGGTTGATAGTATCACATGAGGAGCAGCGTCCCCTGGAGGCCAGAGTGATGACAACAGTGAAACCAGGAGAGAGAACCCCAGTGTTTTTTACTGTTGATTGATAGTATGAGGAGCAACGACCCCTGGAGGCCAAAGTGATGACAACAGTGACACCAGGAGAGAGAACCTCTGATGGCTGTTCATTGGGAGAAAGGAGGTGGAATCTGAGATGAATTTCAGGTGTGCCCACCCTTCCATGGCCCATCTTGGAAGCTGAGAATTTCCTCTTAGTGGCCTCTACTACCCTGGGAGGGCTAGGGGTTATCTGGTCACTTTCCTTAGAGCCCATCACAGGTTCTGTAATCCCTGGATATCCCATTAGGCTTTGGGGCTGAAAGACAGTTTTGAATCTTAGATCTGCCGTTTATTTGACTTGGGGAAACACATGACTCCTATGGTCTGCAGATGGTTTCTCTGAGAAGTGGGGGAGGGGAGGCCTCAGGAGGCTCAGGACAGTGACTAGGTTTGTTCCCACCCTGTTGGTAAACTGGATGGTAGGATGTGAAGCCAGCCGAAGCCGCATTCTTAATCATCAGCCCCAAGTCCGATGATCCCGAAGCCAGGCTTCTCTACCCCATCAGTGCCACATGGGTTAGGAGAGGAAAGGCTGTGAGCTTTGGGGGAACAAGATCTGGCTTCACTGAACTGGAGCACATAACAGAGATGGGAGGAGTCTCAGGGTACAGAGTTGAGTCCCCTCCCTTCTCGCTGCAGGGGTGCCAGGGACAGGGAGCGGCAGGCGGGGGGCCCTCACCTCATACAACATGAACAGGCCGATGGGCTTGGTGGGCTTGATCCTGATGCCAAGGTTGCCCTCAGTGTTGGGCGGCAGGATGTTGCCCTCGTCGTCGATGATCTGGAGCAAGAGGTCTGTGAGTCCCCCTGCAGGGCTCCCAGCATCCTGCCCACCCAAGCTCTGCCTGGCTTATGCGTGTGACACCAGTGGGGACCATGGGGAGGTCCCTGGCAGAAAACAGGACGAAGCTGTCAAGTCTTTGAAATCAGCAAGTCATGGGTGTGTTTGTTTCCTGGTACGTGGACATCACATGTGTCTTCAAGCTACAAAACAGGGTCAGGACAAGCTAAAAGCCCCGGCGGGTGGACAGAGCTGCCGGCGCTCCCCAGGTCCCGTGTGCCACGGCTGTGTGTTCGGCCTCGGCTGGGAGTACTGAAACCTCCCAGGAAATGAGAGGGAAGTAGGAGGAGAGGAGGAAGGACACCTCCGGCAGGGGGCATGGCTGCTTCTGCCACCTGGTGTCACACGGGGTCCGATCCCAGCTGAGCCGTCAGTCCTCCCTGGCCCCACCTTTAGCACCAAACCTGGACATCGAAGGGTGGGATGGCTTTTCCCATGGAGCCGGGCTTGACCTGTGATCCCCGGAGGGTGGCGCATGTGAATCCCTGTGCACAAAAGGAAGAGAATACCAATTGTCAACGGGTCCAGGCAGATCACAGAGCAGCAAGAATCCTACACAGCACACCTGCTCCCAGGGGTCATAGGTCACTGCTCATAGAGCCTGTGGGGAGCTGGGAGCGCTGCATCCTGGGCCACAGGGTCCCGTGGGGGAGGCCAAGAAAGGAGCAAAGGGCTGAGCTCGGGGCAGGCTTGTGTCCATTTGACCAACACTTACTCTAGACTGAAGCTGACAGGATCCCTGCCCCATCTGCCCTCGGGGCTGCGCTGAAATCACTTAAGTTGCTCCTCTGCCACCACTCCCACCCCATTGCCCTCCTGGTGACCTCTGCCTCCTTCCTGGTTCTCTGAAGTTACCATCTGTCCTAGAGCAAAGCCTTCACAGTCAGAAGATGAGGTGATGCCCTGGGTCTCCTCTGTCAGAGGGGCCGGGCCGGCACCCCCTCTCAGAGCCTGCGGGGTGGGAAGCTGCACAGGCCACACCCATGAGCTCACCTGGCTCCTCAGGGCAACCAGCCAGACTCAGGCCTCAGGAGAAGGCCTGGGCGATCCTCCTTCGGTGGTACTTTCCCCGCATTTCTGTTGTCGCCAACAGGGCATTATACTGACATTTGCGGGTGTTTCCCTCCATAGAAAACAAGCGTCTGAACATAGAGACGGCCCCTTGGGCTCTGCACCTCTGATACCTGGCGCATGACCCCCCACATCAGTGAGGACAGCGGGCAGGCCCTGGGGGATGTGCAGGCTGGGCACAGCCCTGGGGAGAACACACCCCTTCCACTCCCCTCACCACCACCCGCAGGGTCGGCATTCTGTTCCCATTTTGGCCACTGGGAAGCCCAGCTTCTGGCAGGGCCCACCTATGCCTATGGGCTTGAAGCTGCCATGGGCGATGCTCAGAGGAACTGACACCTGAGCTCCTGGGAGAGGAAGGCCTCCCTCTCCAAGCTGCTGCTCACACTTCAGGACACGGAATCGCCCACAGGTGAGCGAGCGGGTTGCAAGTGCTTTTGGGAAATGAGGCTCCGGGCAGCGAGGAGGGAGTATTCTGTGGCTTCAAGCAGTTGACATCAAGGAACTAAGGTTATGGGTGTAGCGTGTGCTTCTCTTTGTCCAAAAGTGAACTGGGAGCCATGCAAGGTCAGGCCTAGAGCCCTCACATTTCTCAGGCCTGGAAGCAGACCGCTTAACTGACTAAAATAAAACATTATTTTTTGCAAAAAATAACAATACACCGTCATACAGATATGTGAATCAGGACCAAAAGAGACTGCCCTACGCATCAGGGGATTGAAGATGCCAGCACGGCAGATTGCACGGCCTGCCCACTGGGTGCTCAGAGATCGCCTTGGGGGTCACAGTGTGTGTGTGTGTGTGTGTGTGTGTGTGAGATGCCTCTGCTCCCTCCTCCCCTCCTGCTCGTGCCCCATAATAAAACCTGTGTGCTGCCCTCATACACACCCAGAGTGAGCTTCCAGGGCCACCTCCTGCCTGGCCCTGTGGCTGCTGCTCTAGGGAGGGAGGGTGATGTGGGCAGGACTCGCAGGCGGGGCTTCCGTGAAGCAGGAGGTGCCTCCATTGCTCCTCCCGGTTCCCCTGATCCCAGGGACCCAGCCCCTGTCCTCAGACCCCTTTGGAAGGTTTTGTCCAATAGTCGTCAGCAAACTGAGGTCTTGACAAGTCAAAGACTGTGTGTGCATCGTCTCTCTGCAAACATTTGGGGCCAATCAGCCTGGAACTCCAGAGCCACCCTCTGCTGGCTGTGTGCACAGCAGGGCCTGTGCACAGGCTCTGGCAAATTCACCTCCTCTGCTGGGCTGGGTGGGCCAGAGGGGCCCGTCCACCTACCGTTTCCGCCTGTCCGTAGACCTGGTGGACCAGAAGGCCTGTCCGTTGTCTCCACTTCTCTTGCTCCTCGGGCAGCACGGCCTCCCCGCCAGCAGCGCAATGCTCCAGAGTGGGGAACCTGAGGCTTGGGGGCGACAAGGTGTCCACAGAGCTTCAGGGCAGACATCTTGCTCTCCCCCCTCCCCCACCCCCACACCTCTCCTGGGACACAGAGTCAGGAGTGGTGGACAGGGGCCTGGTTTCATTAGGGGTGTCTTCCTCACTCATTTGGAGCTTTCGCCAAAATAGGTAAAATTAGCAGAGGCTCCAGTGGAGTCATTAGTGATGCCCTGATTGGATTTTTACTGGGTTTGGACCAAGTTCATCATCTGAGGAATGTTGCAAATAGTGGCTGTCATATAAGCTTTGAAATACAGATCGAGGCAGACTCCAAGGGCATGCTGTGATGTAGGCTAAGTGAATAAAAGCAAGTTGTATTTCGGAGTTAGCTTCATAAGGGGTTGTTCAACTCCTTGACATTTTAACTCTGTGTCTAAAAGTTATTAGATCTGATTTTTGAAGCAGCCATTTGCATTTTAGAGTCTCTAAAATATACATAAGTGCCCATTAGGTTCAAAGACAAGATTAGCTCAAAATTAATCTGTAAACACAGGGAAATACAAAATAAAACTATAGCAAAATAACACTACATCCATCAGATTGGTAAAAAATAAAGACTCTGACAAGAACAAATGTTGTCAAAAATGTAGGACAAGGAAATCCTGCCTCCCTGCTAGTGGGTGCACACGCGATTGGATACTTTGGAAAATGGGTGGTAGGATGAGGTGTCACTGTGACTCAGCAATTTCTCCTAGAAAGACCCCACACAAATGAGTGCTGATGTGCACAGGGTGAATGTGCAAGAACAGTGTTAGTCATCAGCAGCCCTCGAATGCAAACCACCCAGATGTCCATTAGTGGTAGAGCGGATTGAAAAAAATGTCGACTTTTTATAAAATGGGATATTATATAGCAATAAAAGTTAGCTACAGCAATTTGATGCAACATGGGCACATCTTAGAAATATAATTTATAAAAAGAAGCCAGACATTACAGAATAATATGATTACAAAGCTCACAAGCAAGTAAAAGAGACTAATATTTCCTTAGGAGGTAAACTACAAGTGGTGGGGGGAGGGGGAGGACACACAAATGAGTGAACACCATAAAAGTCAAGATAGTGAGTTACTGTAGGGAGTTAGAGAGGTCTGAGTAGGTCACTGGGGACTGGCGATGTTCTCTTATTGTGATTTGAATGAGTGGTTACATATTGGTTTAATTTTCAACTATTCCTTAATCTACAAATTTATGTCTTTTGTATTTTTCTGTATGTTTGTTATTTCACAATAAAAAAGGTTAAAAGAGGAAAAAAGGCCACAATGATGCAAGGCTCACTGTTTCATTTGGATCTGAGTCCTGCTTAATTAACTAATTAGACTGGCTGATATTATCACTACCAGCATTTCACACACACACGCACACACACACACACGCACACACACACACACACACACACACTCACACACACTCACACACACTAGCTCTCACTGTCCTCAAAGAACCAGAGTTAGAACAGTCAGACTGTTACCGTCCTTGGCTGGTGATTGACAGAAGCAGAGCCAGGGGGGAGGCTGACAGTGCTGAGCACAGGCAGCTGGGAAGCAGAGGCCTGTTTGCTTCACCAGGAAGCTCCAGTTTCACACCCAAGAAATGGCAGCACAGTCCCCCAAGGGGATTAACACCCCCCTCCCCTCTGGGTTGGGATTGTGTGTGGGAGGGGGATGGGGCAGGTCAGGAACTGCCCAGTAAAGTCAAATGGCGCAGGGGGAGGTGTGGTACCACAGAGGCTGTCAGTCTAACCTGGGAAAAGATCGTTGGCCAGGGGTGGACCCAGTGCGTGCCCCTGGAATCTTGGGAAGTTAGTGGGTTGTTTTGAAAAAGCTCCTGGTTGAGACCCAGGGGGTAATGCTGGCTCTCTCTCTTGCCTGGGGCCCCACTGGCCCAATTTGTTCCTGTCCCCTCCCGCCCAGGAGCAAAGGACCATGCAGGTCTGGAGGCCACCTGGGCCGGGGGAGACTTCCAGGCCCAAAGGATCGTGAAGCAGAAACTCCGGGCATTGGCCTTTGTGTTGGCTGTTGAAGAGGAGACTGGACTTTTTCCAGGGCAGGGCCCAGAGAGATGGGGCATTGGGAAGCCGGGAGGAGAACTCTATTGATGTTACCTAACAAATAAACCAC